CTGAGTGAGCCAGTGTTTGGGAGGAACATGAGCAGTCTGAATCTGATTTTCTTGGTTTGTTCTCCGTCAAGGTCGAGGGTAGCTAAGAGCAGCACTTAGCCGGCCCCGCTGACTCCTGAGGGACGTAGCCTCCCTCTGCAGAGGCGGAGTAGGTGTGAGGGCAAAGCTAGCGGTGGGAGTCTGGGCTGACAGATGCCTGACCTGAGAGCTGCATGCAAGATGGGTGCCGAGGAGCGTGCTGTCCTGGAGTTGGCATAAGACAATCAATGGCCATTTTGTATTTGGACATGATTCTGGATCTTGTCAACCTTCCTCTCACAAAATCCCGGAAGGCATCGACTGCCCCAGAGTACTGCATCAGCGACTTCCGTTCCCCTTGTCTCTCAATCTCTTGGTGAGGATACCACTAGTATTTTGTGCAGAATGGTACCCGGGTGCAGGATGGCCCATTACCCTTTAAGGCATCGTATCAGAGTCCAGCTCCCTGATGTCAGTTGTGGCCGCACCCCAAGATTGTTGTAACAGTCAAAAATGCCCCACACATGCCCAAAACACTCCTGGGGGTTCACGTTGCCCAGTGACTGGAGCCACAGGTCGTGTCCCTTAGGACAGGATCTACTAAGCTCCACTGAGACTTCCTTCATTGGCCAGTCTGAAGCACGAGGGGGCATAGTGCCAACGCAGCAGGAAGAGCGGGACCGGTGTGCACACTGTGGGGTGTGACAGAAGGCTCAGGGGCTGGGTGGAGACCTCTTGGCAGGGTTCTGGCATGAGAGCTGCTCCCCACTCCAGATGCCCCTGGCCCAGTAAAGCCTGTTATTTACAAACAACGGGATGTGCCAAAGAGACATCTCTTCCGGAACTACTCTTTGTTAATTCCAGGTCAGCATGAGAAGATTAAGGATTTTTCTTGATTCTCTTGTTGCCTTTTGTTTTGGGATTAGTTGCCTCTCTCTGATAGTCGACCTCAGAACCTAGGCCTGGTGGTGGGAGTGGGAGACCACAGCACAGTCTGCTGGCTTCCCCCCATCTCTCAGCCAGCCCCCCATCAGCTCCCTGTTTGGCTGCTCTCTCAAAAAATCACCTGCCCTTCCTGTCTCCCCTCTCCCTCTCTCCTTCCTTTCTGTTAGGGGCCAAACTGTGGTCCTCAAAATTTGTATGTTGAAGTCCGAAACCCCAATACCTTGGAAATTGACTGTATTTGGAGATAGGGTCTTTATGAGGTAATTAAGTTAAAATGAGGTCATTAGAGTGGGTCCTAATCCAATATGACTGTGTAAGAAGAGGAGGTTAGGACACAGATACACACACACAGAGGACACCATGGGAAGACACAGGGAGAAGATGGCCATCCATAAGCCAGGAAGAGAGGCCTGGTGCACCCCTGAAATACTGATCAATGACTTACCATGTGTTGTGCACTGCATAGGACTGGGTTTCTAAGAGCTCAGTACTCATAGCTCCCCTTATCTCAGAGAACTAACCCTTTGGCAGTGGCATTTATTCCCAAGGTATCCCATGTAGGCTCGAGGATGAAACGGTTGTCTTTCCCTGCTTCTACTCTCATTGTGAGTTACAGATCCTAGAATTCGATATTTCTCATGGATCTCCTGTCAACGGTATTGGACATATTAGGCTCCATATAGCCCCTTCCTCCAAACCTGCTCTTCCCCTAGCGGCCCCTTGCTCTGTGATTACAAGGGGACCCTCGTGACATCTCCTTTCCTTCAGTGGGACCCACCATTATTGATTTGAAGTTCAAACTCCTGGGTCTACATCTCACTTCCCAGACACAACTGGTTTTCTAGGTCCCCAGAAACCACCTATGAACTTTGAAAGTCCTGTGTCCTTTAGCCTCTGTGCTTTGACACACATTGCTCCCTCACCTGGAACAAGCCCCTCACCCTCTTCTTGGAGGACTCTCCCAGTGTCCTTCCAAGTTCAGTTCAAGGGCTACCTTCATGTAAATGTTTCCTGTTTCCAGTAGATAGGAAGAGGAAGTGGGCAAGGTCTCTATTGTGGTCAGGGATATAGATAACACATCTAGTTCTTTATCCCTCCCTCATTCCAGTCCTTTCCTTCTGGAGCCTTCTAGAATCTGGGTCCACTTCTCTCTGCATCCAGCCAGCTTGCAGAGTCCCTAGTACAAAGCTCACAGTCAATGCTAAAGTCATGGAATGATCCCAGTTTATCAGGGTCACCAGTGAGATTGGTTTGCAGAAGCTCTTTCTATATAGATCTACTGTCAGGCTTACAACCTCACATTCCTTCCCTTTAGGGAATACCCAGTGCGCCTCACAGCCCTTCCCAAGTCTCACAGGGGACAAAATGCTGCAGGGCTCGTGATAGTTCCACCATTGCCAGTTCATGGCTTTTCCTTCTGCTTGGATGGATGCACCCCCTGTAACCACGATCTCTTCTTTCATACCCTTCCCCCAACCCCATCAGATAGAGCTAAAACCCTTTTAATCCAAAAATCCACTCCTTGTTCATTCCCTCCCTGTGATAGTTCAAGTGTGCAACTGACTGCTTTTGGGGGTGAAATGCTGGCAAGCAGTATGGAGGAAATCTCAAAAATTACTCGTATAATTCCAGACTGAAAAAGTAACCCAGAAATCTGCCCAACACCGTAGAAGGGGGTGTTTACTTTTCCTTGGTGCTTTAATTTAGGGATATAATTGCTGTACACGAAATCAAGCTGATTCTTGACCCATGCCATACTCTCATCTCAGACCTAGGTTTTAGCAGACGACTGAGTAAGGAAAGAGGAGAGACCAGATATTTTGAGGGAATTCGGATTTCTAAGATTCTTTCGGTGGTGACTGATAGAATCCAGATTAGCTGAGGAGGGTTTCCACATCGCTCAGTGTCCACAGGGACCCGTATCAACTTTAGAATAGTCTGGATCCTCATCCAGAAACTCCAGATAGGGATTTTCAAAAGAGGTAATTAAAAAAATAACTGGTTTGCAGTATTATTCTTTTAATTCAAAACAGTATTATTCTAATTCTAAGTCAGACCTGATAGAGTCAGGGGATGGGCAAATACGTCAGTGGAGGATTTTCAAGTCTTAAGCTGGTGAGGGAGTGGGCAGGTGGCAGGGTGAGGGCCTTTGCTACTGTGGTCCAGAGCCAACTGAAATATATAGTCTCCTCTGGGTCGCTGATTGCTTCTCCCATGGGGAATGCGTATATTTTCCCATTCCTGTGCCATGCAGCACAGGTCTTACCAAGATGGTCCAGTAGATTATTTGGGAAACTGAAAAGTACTAAGAGAGCACACGGTTGAAAACAGAACAATGTCACATATCACAGTAGCACACAAAAAGCACTTTCCAGACCCAAATCTCCAGCATAGCACCAGAGAAAGCAAAGCCAAGAGTGGGCACTTAAGTCTAATGCTGGATTGAATATCCACTCAATCCTTTGGGGAGAGACTGATGTTTAGAAAATATCCAATGATCAAAGCAGGAATTGGCTCCTTCAAGTGTGACCAACATGTATAAGGGGCTCCTTCTACTTTCCGCTGACTAGAAGAGTAAATTGCAAGCACGAAGTGTGAAGGGAGGTCACGGCAGATACTGAGCAGTCCTCCCACCCCCTTAGCTCACTGTCCATGTCAGACACTTGGGGGCCCACAGAGCCCTGGGCAGGTCTGCAGTCCTCTTTGAGCCTGAGTTCACTAATCTGAAAAATGGAGCCTGGGACCTCACAGGGAGATCACAAAGGCTTGTACCCACTGGTCTTGTACCCACTGGGGCTGTGGATGGTCCATCTGGGACAGGCCTTGTGGCTCAGCACCAGGGGGCACCACCACCTCTCTCTCCACACTTTCCCCATCCCTCTTCTGCCCTTAGAGTGAAGGAGTGGGGACCCTGTTCTTCTGTAGGGGTCCACTGCCAAGCAGGACCTACCTTTTCCCCACAAAGACCGTCCTTGACAGACACACAGAGAACATAGCTAATATGTACTGTTCTTGCTCTAGAGATGCTGGACTAAACATATCAGTCGGGCTCAGACCCCAAGTTTAGAACCACGGCGAGGAGACTGGTATTGGCTCAGAGTGACCTGGGCTGAGGGGCCTTGTCCCCACTCCCTCTCTGTGTGACTGAGTTAGCTCCTTCGTCTTTCTGGATGGGCTTTGTTATCTATAATGATAATTGCAATGATAGCTGACATTCATGGGCCAGGGGCCATGGGCTGTGCCTTAACTGGAGCTGTCTCACTTGATGTCGAACACCCCATAATGGATGTGCCTATTTCCCCATTGCACAGATGGAACAAATAGAGGCATGGAGATTAAGGAACTGTCCCAGGGTCTTACAGTGCCAGGATTCAGTAACATGGCACAAAGTACTTAGCCCAGGCTGTGGCTGAGTGGACTCTGAGTGGTCATTGGTTTTAACAGTGTCCACACACACTCTGAACTTACCTGTTGTGGACCCTCTCAGTTCTCCAGGATTTTCCAGCTCTTTCCTGACATCCCCCACACCCAGCTCAGGGCAGCGGAAGAGGGCTTTTTCCTCCCTCAGCTGCTCCTTGACTGGCTGTGGAGAGACGCTGGGAATCCGGTTAGCCTCAGGTCCCAGCAGCCACCTCATTTGGGGGCTGCACCCCCCAACGCCCTGTCCCAACAGCCCCAAACTCCAAGCGCCCTTCCCCGTAGCAATAACAGTGGGTGATACAAAGGGACAGCGAAGCCCACTCCATCTGTGCCTTCCCGGCGTCCAGCGATCCCCCTCAGAACCTCAGTTTCCTCATCTGTGAAGTGGGGGTGGCGACAAGGAGCCGGCCACAGGTCGCTGGGCAAGCCGATGGCAGGGGGCCCTCTTGGCCCCCTGCGTCACGCGGCACCCAACAGCCCGGGGCCAGCGGGAGGGGCGGGCCGGGGCCGGGGCCGGGGCCGGGGGCGGGTGCGGCACGGGGCGGGCTAGCGGCGAGGCCGGGCCGGGCGGGCGGCGGCGCTGCTGGGGCGTCACAGCGCCGGGAGGCGGCGGGGAGATGCGGCTCCTGGCGCTGGCGGCGGCCGTGCTGCTGGCGCGGGCTCCGGCCCCGGGTAAGTGCGGCGGGGCCGGGGCGCGCGGGTGGGGCGAGGGCAGCCCGCGCCGGGGAGGCCGGAGCTCTGGGCCGGGGGCTTGGCGGGGAGGCCCTGCCGCCTCCCGGGCCGCCCCCTCCCCGTCCGCGCCCGGCGGGGCCAGTGTTCCGCGGGTCTCTGTGGCCGCGCCAGCCCCGCGGAGCGCGGCGGCGCCTTCCCGGCTCCCCGCGGCCGCCGTGCGGGGGCCCCTTCCTGCCTCCGCCCGGGCTCCGGGGCTACGCGGGCACTCGCCACAGCCCCCGCGCCCTCCGGGGGCCGGGCCTTAGGGGTCTGGACTGAAACAGGGGCGCGCCGGCTCTAGCTGTTAGTTTGCTTGCTTGCTTTCTCCGGGACAGCCAGGACCAACAACAGTTGGCAGGTTGGACTGGCAGCAACTTTCCTCTACTTCTGCGGGGAGTTTTCGGAGGGGCTGGATGTGCCCCGGCAACGCGGGCTTGTCCGCGGGCGGCTTGCGAGAGCAGGCCGAGGGAGACACCGTGTCCGCGCCTGGAAGAAGTGGGACCCTTTACCGGAGCACCCTGCTTTAGGAAAGCCCCTACCTACACTGCCGGCTCTCTCTTGGGGTTGCTGCTCTCATTTCTAAGTTGATTCCCCGAGCCCTGCCCGCCTGCCTCGGAGCTGGAAAGTCCACGTTGGCTAGAATAATAGTTAATAATGACTGTTTCGATGGCTCTTACATTTCCTGGGTGCCTGTTGGGTGCCAGGTGTCCCGCTACACATGATCTCATTTAATCACAGCAGCACTTTAAATTAATCACGACAAAAAGCAAATATATATATCCAGCTGCTTTGAAAACATTAACTCAATTTGCCAGTAACCTCTGGAGGAGGTGCTGTTAGTATGCCCATTTTATAAATGAGGAAACTGAGGCCCAGGCCCAGAAATCGGCTTGGCTTAAGTCACAGGTCTTTTGAGTTGTGGAGCAGGGATTTGAATCCCGGGAGCCTGGTGCTAGCCTTTGCTCATTCCGTCGAAGGTGTGTTTTGTCAATAAGGAAGCTGATGCTCAGAATTAAGTGATTTTTCCAAGGGTGACCCACCTACCAAGTGGAGGAGCTGGCATCTGAGCCAGCATAGGTCAGAGTCTGAGCAGGAAGAACTTGGATCACAGTGGGCAGAAATTCACCCGTTGTCCCCTGGTGACCAGAGCAGCCTGGTTTTCTGGGGAATCTGAAATTGGTGCTGTGGGAAATGCTTTTGTCATCCTTGTGGTTGTCTTGACCAACTGTGACTGGAGGTTCGATTGGGGCGTTGATTGGGGTGGTTGGACCAGGACAGCTATGGTGGAGTAGCCAGCAGCAAACAGGATATAACCTCACCCCTCCAGGCTCCCCAACCACCTTCCTGATCACAGGTGTTATCAAGGAGGGCATCCCCAGAGAGTGACTTTTGGGGGGGAGTCAAGGACATTTTTATGTTTTCAGGAGACGTCAGGAGGCTTGAGAGCTGCAGTTTGGGGTCCTTTAGAGTCTGCCCTGGCTGTGCCCAAGGCCATGTGGTGGCTTATCACGACAGTCCTGCTTGTGTGGCACAGGCTGAATGCCTCCCCCTGCTGAGCATTTGCCCACGACCCCTGGCCACAATCCCCCACGGTGGACCTGGCAGAGAGCCGCCTTACACATAGGTCCTGACTCTTAACCGCTGCACTTTCCTACTTCTTGATTTGGGGGCAGAGGGGGACCTTAGCCATCACTGGTCCAACCCCTCATTTTACAGGAAAGGAAACTGAGGGGCAAAATATTTCCTAAAGGCCAAGCTGTGGTCCGGAGTGATGGTTGAGAATTGCTTTGAAGCCAGATGGCCTGTGTTCAAATTCCAGCTCTGCCGAGTTCTGCGTGCTTGACCAGTGGGCTTAGTGTCTCCAGAAAATGAGGATAAACATGATATAAGGATCAATCGGGCAGATAAACCTAAAGTGCTTGGAACAACTCCTGGCCTGGAGTTCACACGCAGCTCGTGGTAGCCTTTGTCATTGGTCAGGGTCCTGTGTTTGTCCCGGATGACAGCTATTTTTGGGGGATGGGCAAATGTGAATGCCACAGCCCATAGGCTAGGTCTGGTAGCTCCTCTGCTTGGAGCAGATACATACAGGCTCCCAGTGCCATGCGCTTTTAAATAATACAATTGCATTTCTTTCAGAGATCTATTTGCCAGGAGTTCAGGCTATCTTTTTGATAAGAATGAGATTTTTGCTGCTGATGGGTACCTAACCTACCGTTTGCATTATTTTTGTTTGTTTGTTTTAAATTTTTTTTGCAGTGTTCCAAAATTCATTGTTTATGCACCACACACGGTGCTCCAAATGCAGAAACTTCTGGCCGAGTGGGGTCAGGGAAGAAGGAGACCCTGGGGCCCTGAAGGCTGAGTTGGAGTTAAAGTCATAAAATTCAGGGCAGCAGCGAGAGGAATGATCTGAGTGAGTGGGAGCCGTTTCTCCAGGACAGAGAAGGAGCGCGGGGCACAGAGTCACCAACACATCACTGGTGGCCCTACCCCTGTCTGGGTCCCAGGCCATGTGGGCGCCTTGTTTCTGTCAGAAGTCCTACAATTCCCTGCAGCTGGAAATTGCCCTCCTCCACTGCATGGCCAGGGCTGGAGGGAGAGGCCCAGGCTTTATACTAGATGAGTAGGTTGTATACTGTTTGGTACAGGGATGTACTTTTAAGCTGTTTTCAGAGCTGCATTAGTCCTTCTCACGACGGTATACAAAAGGGAGCAAGAGGGTTAGACCCCAGAAATCCTCTCCACAGAAATTTAATTCATAGATTGTGGGATTCAGTGCAACATGAAAATGTGCAGTTCCTGATTCAGAATTTCTAGAGAGTGACAACAGAGATGGAACCAAGCAGTGGGCCCCTGACAGTGCAGGGCCCCGGATGACTGTGGATCTCACACACCCCGGAAGCCCGCCCTGCTCACAGGTTGGCACGTGTCACTCTCTGTTGCCTTCTCCTGCCTGGCTTTCAGAGCTTAAGACGAATATTAGTATTTGAAGGTATTTCCTCATTGGAGCTGACACTCACCTTGCCAGGCATCATTTTCTAGTTTTTCAGAGGAGGAAACTGAGGCTCTCAGGGCCTCACATCTAATAGCACCAAGTTTCCAGCCCTGCTCTATTGAACGCCAACCCCCAGCTCTCTGCCCGGCCCCATGAAGCCACTGCGAAAGCCTGGGCCGTGAGAATCCCAGTGCCCAGCCCACTTGGGGGAGGGATCCTTGTGGCCAGAATCCCGTTTGCTCTATTTCATTCACCCTCTTCCCTGACCATGTTGTCGTATTCCTCCTTTAAGAACTGGCCTCAGAGGGGTCCTTATTGGGGTAGAAATTTCCCTCCTGAGATCAACCGGCAGGCCGGGTGGCTTTCTGGGCCATTGTGTGGTGCCCTTTACCAGATGACGCTGTGCTTTCTCCCTCTGGCCTGCACTACCTTCCTTGTGCCTCAGGGTCTTTGCACAGGTGGCACCCCCTCTCTCCCAGGAAGGTCACTCTTTTCTATTCTCCTGAATTTTTTTAAAAAATTATTTATTTACTTATTTTTTTGACAGAGAGAGAGAGAGCATGCACAAGTAGGGGGAGTGGCAGGCAGAGGAAGAGGGAGAAGCAGACAGCTGGATGTGGGGCTCGATCCCAGGAACTTGGGATCATGATCTGAGCCGAATGCACATGCTTAACTCACTGAACCACACAGGTTCCCCTGCTCTCCTGAATTTTATGTCATTAACCCCAACTCAGCCTTTAGCTCACAGTCACTTCCCCAGAGTCTCCTTCTTCCCTGACCCCACAGACTAGATCGGGACCTTGCCCTGATTTTTAAAAGCCTTGCAACTTTTCTCTGTACCATGTGACACTGTTTGTCGTTCCTCCTGTGTCGTTTTCCCCTGGCACCGGCTGTCTTGCCCACTGGACCCTTAGGTCCATGAGGTTAGGAATGCTGTCTTCTTTGTGCAATGACTGGCTCAAGGCTGTTGCTCAGGAAGTATTTGTTGAGTGATTAAGTGAACAAAGCATAGGCTGGGACAGAAGCTGGAGGAAGTGGGAACCCCGGGCACAGAGGAGCCTGGGGCAGGGTGGGGTGTGGGGTGGCAGGGGGGAGGTTGGGGAATCTACCTCCCATCTCAGTTCCCTGCAATGCAGGGTCACAAAGCAAGAAATTCAGTTCTTCTCTGGGTGAGAGTTTTTGACAATTCTCCATCCTAGGCCAGGAGAGGGGAGACCGCCCTGCTTGGAGGGTGACACTCATCCTCCCGTCTTGAGCTGCCTTGGTCCTTGTTTGCTTGGCTTGCCCTTCTGCCCTGCAGAGTGGGTGTATGCTCTGTCATTCAGACAAATCCAGAAGAGAAAGGCCTGGACTCCCACGGGCACTGCCTTCTGGCCAGCCTGACTCCATACGTTGGTTGGTGTTGCTCTTGCTTCCTACCCTCCTGACTCCCACCTACTGTGTTCTCTGCTGAGCATGGGCGGGGGGTTGGGGGGGGGGCTGGCTGCAGTGAGGCAGATGCCGAGTGATGCTGTCTTTTCTAGTATTTAACTAAATATCTAGTTCAGCTGGCATCTGCTAGGCACTGGGGCCTCTAGCTGCAGTTTTCCCCCCTCCCCACTCAGGCCGGCACAGGAGCTGTGTTTGCTGGGTTTCAACCAGCCATCCCCAGTGCCAAAGAAAGGGTGCTACTGGGAACACCTGGCTTTCAAGGAAGGCTCATCGCAGGCCTGGAGACAACTGAGAGCCTGTGTTCTCTAGCAAAACTTTACGCCCCTGAGGGGCCCTTGGCCCTGAATTTCAGTAGCTCATGATTTTGGGCTGACGGTGGGTGTAAATATCTGGGTTGGTGACAGGAGTGTGGCCAAAACGAGCCTTCCTATCAACAAGGTTGTATGGCTTGCTAGGGTTGTGGGAACAAAGTGCCATGAACCTCACACATTTGTTCCCCGCAGTGCTGGAGGACTGAAGTGTGAGTTCAAGGTGTCGGGAGGGTTGGTTTCTCTCGAAGCTCCCTGTTTGGCTTCCAGATGGCCATGTGCTCCCTCTGTCCTCACATGGGCAGACTTCTGTACGAGCACGTATCCGTGTCCAGAGTTGTTCTTATAAGGACATCGTGCATGTTGGATTAAGGCTCTCTCTAATAGTTTCATTTTAACTTAATCACCCCTAGAAAGGTCCTATCTCTGAAGACAGTCACATTCTGAAGAGTGAGGATTCGGGCTTCCAACATATATATGAATTAGGGTCTTTGCACTTTGCTGGGAGAAGCCTGCATGGCCCATTTGTAAGAGGATATAGGGCTAAATGAAGGCGGAGAGGTGCCCTGGTAAAGAGAAAAGGAGGGGTCCTTTTAGGCAGATCGTTCCATCCACTGGCTTTCCAGAGAGCTGCTGACTCCTGGTCTGAGCTGCAGAAGTGGAAGGGTTACTCGTTTGCCTCCAGGATGGAATCTGGCCTCCCATGGGAAGCGAGCACTTGGCACATTCTCCTGGTTTCAGTCACTATAAATAATCCCTCCTTCACCCAGCGTTAATGGGAGGAGACTGGGGTGTGGGGTCTGGGCTCGCTCATCCCACCCATCTTGTTTCAATTTCCTGCCTTCCCCAGTTCTCCCCTTGACTCCAGCGGGGGGGCCCTTGGGGGTGGGTAAAGCTGGGCTTCAGTTCTGGAGCCAGCTGCCACTCGCTCTCTGTCTGCCGATCCCTGATCCCCGGGGCAGCTGCTGGAGTGGGTCAGCCTGGTGTCCCTGCTGTGGCCCGTGGGGACTTCAGACAGGGCCTTAGCAGTCTGGAGGGACTTGGACTAATTTAATAGAGCATCTGGGCTAGGTGTAGGGCAGATGCACCAGATGCAGGGGAGACAGTGGGAGCATTTCCTCTTCTTTTTTCCTACATGAGCACTTTCTGTCACAGGGAGATCGTTACTAGAGAACCTGCACTTTCCTTAGTTGCTGATGCTCTTTGTTCCCAAGTATGTCCCAGGGCTGGCTTTGTCCTCTGTGGCCGTAGACAGAGACAGTCTCATTCTTTTCCACAAGGACAGTCCAGCCCAGCACCAACCTTTTTCTTGTGAGTTTAGAACCGTCTATTTTTCAAGGTAACGAGAGATTATCAGGATGTGGGAAAACTGAATGATGGCCCCCAACGAGGTCTGTGTCCTAACTCCTGGAACCTGTGAATGTTACCTTACGTGGCAAGAGGTACTTAATGGAGGTGATTAAGGATGGACCTTGGAGTGTGCTGGAGTGTCCTGGTGGGCCTGGCTTCTGACAGCTGGGAAAGAAAATGAGAGGAAGTGGACCCTTCCGTCCTATCTCTGAACATATGCAGTTTATGAACACAACAGCGGAAGCCATTTAGGAGGATGAGATTATTGCCTGGACTTCTTCCGTGAAGAATATTTTTCTCGGGAGCCTTTCCAACCCCGACAGACACAGGGCCTCACCTTGTTGACTCATGGCCTCTTCCCAGTGGAAGGTTCCGGTCTTTCCTGATCACTTTTTCATCCTTCCTCCTTGCTCACCTGCAGCGTTGGCCAGAGTTCAAAGCTTTTGCTGACCCTCACATCAGGACCCAAGCCCCTTCATGTGATCAGAGGTGACATTTGGGGCTGAGAGCCATGGCTCGAGGTGACCCCAGGGCCCCCTGCTGGTGTGGTGGGGCAGGCAGGGGTTGGGCAGCTGGCAGTGCAGAGGGAGGATGGGGGACCCGGGGTAAAGACGCACTGGCCGTCAGGTTCTGTTCGGAAACAGCCTCTGGGTTCCACCTGCCAGCTGACGGCTCCAGCGGTGAGCTCCAAGGCAGGACGGCCACATGGCTCAGTCCCTGTTGTCACCATGTAGTGAGTCTTCCAGCGGGGAGGCCTCTGTGTGAGGTCTGCTGGTCTGGCTGCTTTGGGTGGGTGTTGGGGTGGCTCCCTCCAAGATCAGCTTGGGGGGCAGAAGGGTAATTCAGGAGGGGCAGACCTTAGAGTGGATCTAAAGCAAAAAACAAAGGACAGGAAGGAGTAGACCAGGTCTGGAATTTTGGAGCATCTCCTGAGTTGCTGAGGGGGTACTCTCCCTCCTCCCTGTTCCTGGGTTCCTTCATTCTTTATTGCACTGTAGCTCTGAGACCGTGGACCCTAAGTCTACAAAAGACTTAGAGTAAGACACTGAGAAACCTCTGCTGTTCCAGCTCTTTGGTTCTAGTTCAATGTCTGCCTGACCAGCACTGATGCTCTGCCTTGGTTACAGTGGAAATCACTGAGACAGGGCAAGGGACTTTGAAGGGCAGCTCCTGGACCCACAACATTGCTGTCTCAGGCAGGCGATGAAACTGATCAAAAGTGGACCCTGGGAGGCAGGCTGGTGGATGGGATGTGCGCTGGAGATGTTTAAGGGATTCCAAAAACCCAAATCTTTATGTGAAATTTCCCAAGTGTTGAATGTCACCAACTAATTGAAGAACATTTTCAACTATGTCTGGGCCAAGTGGTCAGGGGCTTTTCATGTGGATGGGACTGTACCATGGATGAGGATGTGGGAGCCCACAGAAACCCCCTGTCCCTGCCATGCTCCAGAAGGGCTCCTCCTGTCCACCACAAAGGCACAGAGTGAGCGTGGAGGGGATCAGGGTGGCCTGCCCCTCTGGCCATGCAGATGGCTTCTGGAGAAAAGACAGACAGTGTGTCCTTCCGGAGAAAGGTGGTGGCCATGCTCATCATCTTCCTTTTTTCTCTGCAGAGGTGTGTGGGGCCCTCAATGTCACCGTGTCCCCGGGGCCTGTGGTTGACTACCTGGAGGGGGAAAATGCCACTCTTCTCTGCCATGTCTCCCAGAAGAGACGGAAGGACAGCTTGCTGGCCGTGCGCTGGTTCTTCGCACGCCCCAATGCCCAGGAAGCCTTGATGGTTAAGATGACCAAACTCCGGGTGGTGCAGTACTACGGGAATTACAGCCGCAGCGCCTTCCGGCAGAGGCTGTGCCTCCTGGAGGAGAGGCGCGGGGCACTCTACACACTCTCTGTTTTGACCCTCCGGCCAGCAGATCAAGGGCATTACGTCTGCAAAGTCCAGGAAATCAGCAAGCACAGGAATAAGTGGACCGCCTGGTCCAACGGTTCCTCAGCGACGGAAATGAGAGGTAAGGGCCTCTCTGCTCTTTGGGGAGACAAGGGGGGCACAGATCAGTGGTCCTTCCTCTAATTGGCGAGATAGGGGCCCCCAGATGGCTCTGCTGGGCTAGAATGCATCTTCATGGTTTCTGTGGGCCACAGCCACGTGAGCTAGGCTTGGGGATGAGGACAGATCTTTCCTTGGACACTGGGGCTAGCAAGTGCCTGGCCCCATCCTGCCCAACATGGCCCTGGGCAAAACCTTTATGTCTAAAAGATTGGACTGGCTGTGTGTGTGCTTTGCCTCCAGCTCAGATCCATGCGGCCTTGGTTGCTTAGGCTGGAGTGGGGGAGGCCTGCGTCGGGAAATCCTGATGTCAGTTTCCAGGCCTCGGAGCAGGGTATGCTGGTGGCTCTGATCTGTTTCCCAGAGGAACTGGTCCAAGCCCCTGGCAACATCTCACTGAGAAATTCATCTAAAAGTGGGCAAAGGACCAGAAGTAGCCCACTCTTCCTGAAGAAAGATAGGAGGTATCGGCTGTGTTCTGGAACATCTTAGCTACCAAGCCCCACATTCGAAGGTTATCATTTTTTTATCACAAATGTTCTACTGTTTCAGTAAGACTAGTTATGGTGTGCTAAATATTACATTTTTGATTGCTTTGAACTTGAATTTGGTCTGGTACAAGATTAAGAGGATCACAAAGTAAAGCTGATGGTCTCAAATGTGAGAAAGAATCTAATTTTATTATATACATGTAATATAATAGTAAAGGCATTAGTGATGTGGCTTTGATAAGCTTTTTTTTTTTTTGAAAGGATAAAACTCAGTTGTGAAGGGTTTTTTTTTTTTTAATGGAAGAAGAAGGAGTATTTTTAATATCCTGTATGAATAAGGGACGTGTTAAAGCAGATAATTTATGTAGAGAGTGGTTAGTACAACTTTATTTGCCTTTGGAGTTTCCTCATTATCATGTTCTTAAGCAGGGAATGATGTATTATCTGAAATGTGTATTTTTTTTTCCCTAAGCAAATTCATTCAAGAAAACAAATGACTATTAGTATAAATATATCTTTTGGCACAGAAAACAGAAAAATGCATCAGATGACCAAGGGCCAAGGAGGGAATTCACTCTGAATATCACTTGGCTCTGAAACACAAGATCTTATACGTGTCCTTTTTATGTTTATGTCACAGTATATTCTGGAATTGTACACTATATCTCTTGATAGTAAGGACTCTGTGCCAATTAGAATAGATGAAAAGTTCCTTGCCTTCAAGTGCCGTCATCTTCACTTTTCACATTTAATGTGAATCTACTTTCATGGAGTGAAGGTGGGTTCCTTCTAGAACATTTACTTAGGTACTTGCTCCCCAAACCTGAGGTGGTTCATAAGGTTTCACTCGAAATACAGACCCTTGTCCTCCTTCTCCCCCTTCCCCCTAATCCCCTTCCTCCCTCCCTCCTTCCTGTTTCCACTCTCTGAACCTCTTTTTTCTTCTTCCTCTCCTTTTCTTTCCATCTCCTAGACCTCCCATTTCTGATTCTTCCTTCCCCTCCTCCTTCCCCTTCCCTTCACTTCCTCTTTCCCTTGTCTCTCTGTCGGTCTCATGCTCATCCTCCACAGGCCCTGGAAGTGGTTCTAATCTCACAGCAGAGCTGGGCCTCCCCGGCTGCCTCTGCCCTAACTCAGAGCCTCCTGTTCCTCGCACTGTCTCAGCCTCTGGGAAGGGCTGTGGTTTTTCAATGGGACGATCAGAAACCTTAGAAAGTGATGACCATACCTTCTGGAGCATTCCATGTAGGCTTCAAGGGGACTACACCAGGAAGGTTAAGAAAAGATGACTCTACATAAATGACCTGAAAGCAGACTGGCTTGTTTAGGTTGGAACATGTCTGTCCCAGGCTGGGGGCAGAGTGCGGAAGCTTGGCTCACTGTCCTTCTCCGTAAGGCCCAAGGCGGGGAAGAGGCCCCTGGCTCCAACCTCCCAGGGCACCATTTCCCCAGGCCCTTTTCCTTGCTTATTTCCATGAGCCTTATTTTCCTAAATCTTCACCTCATATTAATAATTGTTATACGGAAAATCAGAACAAAAACAAACACAATGAAAAGTCCTGTGGGCAAATACTTTTGGGCTATAACACTGAATAGCAATTCTCACAAGTGTTTTTGGAGTGAGCGCCTTTCCTCCTCTGGGCTCCAGAGTCCCTCTGTTCTAAGGAATGCACTTTGCTCTCCTTCCTGAAGGTTTCTCAAGCCATTCACAGGAGCAGGGCAATTTTCTCGGGAATACTTTATTTTATTTTTTTAAAGGATTTTATTTATTTATTTGACAGAGAGAGAGATCACAAGTAGGCAGAGGCAGGCAGAGGTGGGGGGGAAGCAGGCTCCCCGCTGAGCAGAGAACCCGATACGGTGCTCAATCCCCCGACCTTGAGATCATGACCTGAGCCGAAAGCAGAGGCTTAATCCGCTGAGCCACCCAAGCACCCCTCAGGAATGCTTTTAACACTACTCCTGTCCCCTGCCCTTGACCATGGACTGTCACACTCCCTTTCTTGCATTGTTTTTAATGTGAGATAAAATTGCTGGTCTTCCACTGTAAAGTCCCAGGAAGAATGGTTGACACGCCGTGTCTTCTCATCTCACCGTTGCCAAAGGAGGTTGGCTGGTGAATGAATGAACGCCCTTTGATAGCACTTCTTGCTACCAATACATGAGGGAAGCAAGACTTGGTCGATAACGAAACCTTCTCTGGCAGAAGTCATCTCTTTTTCCTTGGCCTATTCCAATTGTACATCTCATTCGAGGCGCTTGTCTATCCTTCCTCTTTCCTCAGGACTTCTTTGTGCATGCTAGCCCACCGAGATTACATCCTAACACCCTCAGGGGCACTGCTGTCCCCAGAGGTAATCACTGTCCGTGGTGTGGTCTGCCTCCATCAAGTCCCTCTTCTGTGGGCATTAGTGCCTGCCCCCACACATATATTCCAGTAACACCACACTTCATGCCTTATAAGTATTGCCGATGATGTTATTTATGCTCTTTTTTGTAAGTGATATTACATAGTCAGATGACACCGAACTGTGTGCCATCATCCCTCTAGTGATGAAGTCTCAGAAACGTCCAATTTTTCATTAACATAACAAGTGCTTCAGTGAACATCCTTCTACACACTTTCAAGTGTGTCTTTTGAATTCCTGGAAAGAGAATTGCTAGGCCTAAGGCCATGCATATTTAAATTTTTGACAATGTCCATATGCTCTCCAAAAAGATTTTACAAATTTATACTCTGACCATCATTGCATGATAGGGTCTATTTCCTTGAAGCCTCATTATCGATGGATATTATTAATCTTTTTCATTATTTATCCTGGTGATGGGAAAAAGAATATTTCATTGTTGTTTTAATTTCGATTATTATATTCAATACAATTTAATTTTAATTATTGTATTCAATTATTAATGAGGTTGAACATCTCATCATATGTTTATTGACTGTTTAAAAAAATTTCTTCTGTTGGGGCTCCTGGTGCCACAGCCAGTCAAGTGTCTGACTCTTGGTTTTGTCTCAGGTTGTGGGGTTGAGCCCTTTGTTTCTCTCAGGTTGTGGGCTCTGCGCTCAGCATGGAGTCTGCTTGGGATTCTCTTTCTCCCTCTCTCTGTGTCCCTTCCACTCGTGCTCTCTCTCACTCTCTCTGTTTCTCTCTTTAAAAATAAATACATAAACCTTTAAAAGAAAGTTTTCTGTCAATTGCCTGTCCCTAACCTTTGCCTATTTTTCAGTTGCTTGCTGTCTTTTTCATACATATATATATTTTTCTGATCATTAATTCTTTAGCTGTTATGTATGGTACAAAATTTTCTTCCTTTTTGTTACTTATCTTTACACTTTGTTTATTTTTTTTAACCACATGGATATTTTACATTTTCAAGATATTTATTTTGTCAAATTTGCCAGGTTTCTTTTTCCCTTTATGATATTCCTGTTTTCAGTTGTATTTTTTTACTGAGATATAATTTATTCAATAAATTGCACATGGTACCTTGATTTCATATATTATCTGGGAGGGTATTTCCCACCCACGCTTACAAAAGTATTTTCTGTATTTTTCTTTAATATATTTAAAGGATTAAAAGAAAGTTTTACTCCTTTATCTCTTGAGAATCCATTTTTTTGCAAGATTTTATTTATTTGACAGAGAGACAGTGAGAGAGGGATCACAAGCAGGGAGAATGTGAGAGGGAGAAGCAGGCTTCCCACTGAGCAGGGAGCCTGATGCAGAGCTCGATCCCGGGACCCTGAGATCATGAGCTGAGTGGAAGGCACATGCTCAATGAATGAGCCACCCAGGCACCCCTGAAATCCATTTTCGTATAAGGTGTGAATAATTAACTAACTTTTTGTTTCCAAATGGCTGTCTTTTTGTCCCTACATTATCTATTGAACAGATAAAATTTCCCTGTTTTGAAATGCTACGATGTCATGAGCAAAATTCCTACATTTAAATGCAAACTCCATACTCACAGATAAAGCACTATTTTAATTATTAGAGGATAGGGCAAGTCTCATTATTTTTTAAATAAATGTTTTGCCTAGTCTCATTTAGTTTTTCTTTCAGCTGATCTTACATAGTTTTGTAGAAATTATGTTGGGGTTTGATTTTATTGGAATTTAATTGACTTTATAAATTACTTTGGCATGGTCTTTATGATTTTTTCTTTTTCCTTTTTTTTTTTTTAAGAAAAGGAGAGAGAGAGAGAGAGAGAGGCCAAAGGGGAGGGGGAAAGAGAATCTTAATCAGGTTCCACTCCCAGTGTAGAGCCCAGTGTGGGGCTTAAGACCCGAGATCATGACCTAAGCCAAAATCAGAAGTCGGATGGTGAACCTACTTAGCTACTCAGATGCCCAATGTCTTTATGATTTTAAATATTCCTATCCACAGAACTAGTAGATTCCTTCATGCATGCAGGGTGGTTTTTTTTTTTTTTTTTTAAGTCTTTCAGTAAAAGATATCTTAACATG